AGAGCCCTGGCACTACAGGAGACATTCAGCTTCCAATTCAAAGACTAAGGAGGTTTCCAGCCTTTCAGGACATGGACAAAAGCCCGAAAACGTGACCCTGAAAGGCTCAGAATTCTGGAGGCAAAGGAAAAGCCCAACCTCATTTATTGATGTTTTAAAGGCTTGTGCTCTTGAAGCTCTTGAGTTTGGGACATTTCTCAGCAGCCTTTGGTCCCAGCTTTCCAGCCCAGTTGAAGTTAAGGAGGTGAAAGGTCAGTGCTGTTCCCCTTGGGGTGACAGTGACACCAGAGCTCCCTGTGGAGCAGCTCCAGGCTGAGAATTCCTTTGGGCTTTGTACAGGGACCTGGCCCAGGTCCTGCTTCTGTGGCAAGCTAGGTGCCCCCTCCTCCCCCATGCTGATCTGATTGGGTGCAGCAGGGTGCAAGGAACAGCCACCATTGCAGCCTGCCACTCCCATGCCTGGCATGCTCCTCTGTGGGCCAGAGCAGGGGAGAGGGCAGATCCAAAGTACCACCCCCACCCCCTTGGGATTGCAGCTGTGCTAGGCCCTCATGTGGCTGCACTGCAGTAAGGGAGTCTCCCTGTACCAGAGACAACCCATCCCTAAATGAAGAATGAGTCAAGATCTGGCTCCATTAGGATATTTCTATTCTGGTTATCCACTCACCATTCACACCCATCATCCATCACCACACACGTCTATCCACTCACCATCCACCGCTACACATTGATCCACCTTCTGTCCACACCCTTCATCCACCACTATACACGTCTATCCAGGCAACATCCACAACTTCCATCCATCATCACACACATCTATCCAATCACCATCTACCATCACCACACATCTATTCACCCCCCCCATCCACACACCCCACCCCACACGTCTCTCTACCCACCACCCACAGCCACACGTCTACTCATCTACCATCCATCCACCACTCTACACACATCTATCCATCCATCCATCCATCACCATGCCTACCACCATCCACAGCCCTCCAGCTGTCTTTCCTTCTGTCTGCAGAGTGTCACCCACAGCTCTCTATCCCTCTGCAGTGAGTGGACTCTGTCTCAACCTTAGAATAGTGATAGAGATGCAGCTGTGTTAATCTGGTGTAGCTAAAACAAAAGACAGGACTTTGTAGCACTTTAAAGACTAACAAGATGGGTTATTAGGTGATGAGCTTTCATGGGCCAGACCCACTTCCTCAGCTCAAATTGTGGAAGAAAATTGTCATGACCATATATACCAAAGTGATACAATCAAAAAAATGAACGCATGTGAAATTGAAAATTACCTCACAGACACTAACCTTCCCCCCTCACCCCACTCTGTTCTAAAATTTGATTTGTCAATTTCACATGCATTCATTTTTTTGATTGTATCACTTTGATTTATAAAGTTGTGCCGATTTTCTTCCACATATTGATGTGAGGAAGTGGGTCTGGCCCACGAAAGCTCATCACCTAATAAACCATCTTGTTAGTCTTTAAAGTGCTACATAGTTCTGTCTTTTGTTTCATCCCAACCTTAGGGTTGTGATATCTCCTCACACCATCTCCCTACTCCATCAGACCTTCCCTCTGTGGCTGGCCCTTGGAGACCAACTCCCATGGAGACTTCAGCTCAATGGGAGCCCAGTCTCTGTTCACCGCTAGCCTCACCCCAGCACAGGCCGATCTTTTGGCTCCCTGCCAGCAGCCTGTTTGGACTCTGGGCTGTTGGGGGCAGAGACCTGTTGCTCTGGAGCTCAGAGAATCCATTAGCAGGCGGCTGCTTTGACAGCTCGTCTACGGTTTCCTCTGGGGAGGTGCTAGGGAGATTAATCTGCATCGACCGGGGCGGGATCAATAGACTCCAACGAGCTGGGCAGGAAATATTGACTGGAACAGGTCCAGCTCCAGATAATTGCTTCTACAAACAACCCCCAGCAGTGCAGCAGCTGGTGGGAGCAGCATGCACAGTGCAGGAGGGTGGAGGGGGAGGATCCTGAACTATTTCTCTGGAGGGCGGGGCTGGATCTGTAGTACAACCTTTTATTCTGTCATTGGAACTCATGGGGGCCAAGTTGTATCCCCTGCTGCTTGTGCAGCCATTTACCCCAGTACAAAGGGGATGCAACACACCCAGGCTATGTCTACACTGGCGCGATCTTGCGCCAGAGATATGCAAATGAGGCTAAGCGTGGAATATCACTGAGCCTCATTTGCATATCTAATAAGCCGCCATTTTTGCGAAAGAGGCTCTTGCACCAGAAGGAGCTGTCTACACTGCCCCTTCTTGCACAAGAAAAACCCTCTTGCACAATGCCATTATTCCCAAAAATAATCAGCATAGTGGCATTGCGCAAGAGGGTTTTCCTTGCGCAAGAAGGGGAAGGGTAGACAGCTCCTTCTGGCGCAAGAGCCTCATCTGCAAAAATGACAGCTCATTCAATATGCAAATGAGGCTCAGTGATATTCCATGCTTAGCCTCATTTGCATATCTCTGGCGCAAGATCGCGCCAGTGTAGACATAGCCCTTGTGTTCACACTTGGCCTGCACTGATGTGAAGGGCACACAAGGGGACAACAGGGAATCAGGCTGATTGAGACACTGAAATGGGCTGGATGTTGCTTTCAGCCTGGGGCAACTTAGAGCAGAGTTAAGGCTACTGTAACTTACACAGAGCAGAGTTAAGGCTACTGTAACTTAATGGCCTCCCACTGCAGTGAATGGAGATCTCACAGGGCAGACGGTGTCTTTCTCCCTATGCTGAGGTGATAGTGGCAGGAGGAGGAGAGGCCGTTGTGTGTCACCCTGTGTCAGGGCCACAGGTAGGGAACCCTCAATGTGCCTTTCAAGGCAGCATCGCAGCTGCTGTGTGACAATCACCAAAGGGCCCAGGATAGAGCTCTGTGAGCTGGGTGGTTTATTTCTGGGTCACTCTTCCCAGGTCCCTACAGGAGTAGCGTGCAGAGGAACAATCCCATTCAGGGATACTGCAAACTCCCCAGAACCGGGCCTGAGGTTTGCGGCATGAGCTTCAGCCAGGTTCTTCCTGGATCCCAGGGGAAAGGATTTCCCATAGCCCAAGTTCCTGGAGGGTGCTGGCATGGTGTTAAGGAGTCAACTTCAAACCCCTTCACAGCAGGACTGTGTCCAAGCTACCCTCAGGGTACAGATCCAGGGCTTACTTCATGGCCAGGGGTGAGCGTATGTGTGTGTATGAGGGGAGTATTCTTGGCTTTGGGAGCTTCCCAGTTATACAGCTGAGCTGAGTTTGAAAGGCAGCTAGATGGATCTTGTGGTCAGGAACCCATTGTATGGTACGCGGTCAGGAGGGTTAATGTTGTCATTCCTTTGCCCAAACAGTAGCAGATTTCAGGGCCTAGCAGGTCAATTTCCCAGGGGAGGAGAAACCTGTGTCAAGTAGCTCAGGTGTATTCTTAGCGCACTTGTTTGCCACGCTATGTGCATCAGTCCGGGAACAGTCGCGTTCCCGGCAACACTGGGATTCCTGGCAACAGGCACACACCCATGCCCGGTCCCTGGGGGCAGCTCTGCTCCGAGAATTGACTCTCCTTCAAGAGATCCCAGCAGGGAGCAAAGTGCCAACTGCTTGCAACAGCTCCTCTAAAAGCCAAAACAGCCCTGCAAAGGGACAACACTCAGCATTTCAGGCCAGACCCATGCTGCTCCCACAAGACCAAACAGATCTTGTCTGGCTGGGTACAAAAGCGTCACCTGATGATTCCTCCCCTAACAATGGCCCTTGGTGGTCTCCTGCACAGCTAGGAAAGTCTCACTCCTCAGCAGGGATGTTAATGAATTAGCAACACCACCTCCCAACTGCCTGCAAAGCAGCTCAGGATCAACTAAATTATACATTGTAGGAAACTGAGGCACAGGAATCCTACAACAAGTCACTGACAGAGCTGGGAATAGAACTCAGGAATTCTGATCCTCAGGCAGGCGACACATTATATCCTAATCTCCTCCCAAAACCCAGGAGTCCTGGCTCCCTAGACCCCACTCTAACCCTTAGACCCACTCTCTCAGTGTTTAAGGCTTCTTATTTCACCAGGAAGTGGGGAAGTGTCCAGTGTCCTAGGGCCCCTCCATCCTGCCCAGGGCAGCTCCCCCACCCTGTCACAGCAGCGTGCAAAGGACTGATAGTTGCTCCACCAGTGCTCAAAGGCAGCCACCTCTGGGGTGGAACAAGGCAGCAGTGCAGTAGCCACGCAGCAATTCTCCACAGGGATCCCTCACCGCACAGCACTGACATGCAGCCACCTCTGGGGTGGAACAAGGCAGCTGTGTAGCAGCCACGCAGCAATGCCCCACACGGATCCCTCACCGCCCAGCACTGACATGCAGCCACCTCTGGGGTGGAACAAGGCAGCTGTGTAGCAGCCACGCAGCAATGCCCCACACGGATCCCTCACCGCCCAGCACTGACATGCAGCCACCTCTGGGGTGGAACAAGGCAGCTGTGTAGCAGCCACGCAGCAATGCCCCACACGGATCCCTCACCGCCCAGCACTGACATGCAGCCACCTCTGGGGTGGAACAAGGCAGCTGTGTAGCAGCCACGCAGCAATGCCCCACACGGATCCCTCACCGCCCAGCACTGACATGCAGCCACCTCTGGGGTGGAACAAGGCAGCTGTGTAGCAGCCACGCAGCAATGCCCCACACGGATCCCTCACCGCCCAGCACTGACATGCAGCCACCTCTGGGGTGGAACAAGGCAGCTGTGTAGCAGCCACGCAGCAATGCCCCACACGGATCCCTCACCGCCCAGCACTGACATGCAGCCGCCTCTGCGTTGGGACTCGTAAAACAGCCGCCCAGGGTCGCTCAGCGCGCAGTGCAACCCCGTGTCCCGCGGGGAGGCCGCTTGGGAGGCGCCGGGCACGGAGAGGGTCGGGGAGCGGGGGAGGGAGCATTCTCGCCCTGCGGTCGCTCTGAGCCGGGGCGCGGGACGTGGCGGCGCTGGCTGCGGCGGGGGCCGGGCCGGGGGATCGATCCGGGCCGCCCAGCGGCTGTTCCCAGCGCTGCAGTCGGGCAGGGCGGGGCCGGGGGAGGCCGAACGGCCCCGGGCTGCCTGCACCTCGCCCCTCTCCTGAGCCGGCGCACGGGGCCGCCTTGCGCGTCCCGGGCGAAGGCTCCCAGCGCCGGGCCGGTGCTCGCCACCATGGAAGCCGCGAGGGCGCCGCTGCCCCGGGCCGCGCTGGGCTGCTTGCTGCTGCTGATGGGTGAGTCGCCCGCGCAGGGTCAGCGCCGGGCTGCGGGGAGCCCTGGCTGCAGCTGCTTGGCACGGAGGGGGGTGCGGTGCGGGGGCCCGCGCATGAGAGCTGCTGGAGGTGGGGCAGCCCTGCCCCCTTGGCGGGCGGTGAGTCCTGGGGACGGGGGTGCACTGAGGCTGGGAAAGGGAGGGGGGAGGCTGGGGGAGCCCAGCCCCCTTGGCAGCTGGGAAAGGAGGGGGTACAGGCAGCTGGGGGGAGCCCTGCCGCTGAGGTAGTGGGGGTGCAGGCGGCCGGGTGGAGCCCTGTCCCCCTCCTAGCTGGGCACTGAGGGTGCGGGCGGCTCCCTGCTCCTTTGGCAGCTGGGGACACAGGGTGCTGGTGGCTGGGGGGGGAGCCCTGCCCTCGAGGCAGCTTGGCACTGGGGGTGTGGGCAGCTGGGGGAGCCCTGCCCCTTCGGGGGCAAGGTGCTGTGGCCCGGTAGGATGAAGGTTCATAGCCCTTGCTCCCCCACCAAGCCAAGGGAACAGGGCCCTGCCCTCCTGACTCCTCCTTCCCCAATCTCCCCACTGGAGCAGGGAGGCCTCTTACTATTCCCCTGGTAACTCCCTCCCAGCAGCTCCCCCAAACACCAAGCTGTGCATGTGCCTGGGGCTTACCCTGGCAGCTCACACCTCCAGGGCTGCCTCTGTGACCCAGAGCCCACACCAGCACTGGGCAGGAGAATGCAACGGGTCCTGCCCCCCATTTACAGAAACATCTGCCTGCTGGCCCCGTTTGGTGCATGTGTCGGGGTGGGTGTCTTCTCTGACTTTTCATTTAGTCTGGTCCTCATTTTGTGATTGCTTCCCTCGGATCCGCTGGACTTTGATCCTTGGCCGGCTCGTGGGAGGGGAGAGGGGCTGTGCAGCATGCTAACAACCAGCTCTGGACTTTTCTAACGGTGCCCTGGCAAGAGCTGATCAGACCCAGGAGACGACTCCGTCTGTCCTGCCCATGGGGCTGTCTGGTTGGGTCCCCAGTTGTGAATAGGGACAGATCAAGGATGGGGGCAGGGCTCAGGGGAAGACTCTGCCCCAGACCTGCACGACCCCTGGTTCTCCAGCTGGCATGTCATGGCTCCTGTGCCAGGCCTTAGTGCCTGCTGCTTGCACCGCATGGTCCCAGCTTGGCCTGCCCCCCAGGGAATTTCACTGGTGATGCGGCGTAAATCCCCTACAGTTGGTGGGGTTTCTGGGAAAGGGTGAGTTGCTCTGTGGGCCCAGCGTGACTTTTTAGCAAGGACAGCTCTTCGTCATGGGCCTGATTTTGATTAACCACCTGCCCTGTGGGCACAAATGGCTTTAACTTGGCACTCCTGGTATTCCAGGCTCTGGCCTGCCCCGGTATAAATCAGAGCAGCCTCAGCGTGGCTCTAACTCTCACCCTCCTTCCCCCGGGGGGACAGAAAATAGCTGTCGCACAGTGCGCTCTGGCCACACCTCTGATCCACAGCCCAGGCTGCTCCATCTCAGCTCCCAGACCCGTCTCTTCCCTGCAGCACCCACCCTCCTCTCCAGGGGCTGGGCAGAGTAACTGAACCTTGTGGGAAACACGCTCTGGGGACAGCAGAACACCTCGCTTTCCTCCTGCCGCACGCACCCTAAGGAATTAGCCCAGCGTGCCAGCACTGGGCAAGTCTTATTCCCCCCCAGACTGCAGAGAAGATAACAGCCTAGTACTGCTACCCTGCCCCTTGACCTCCAGAGACTGGGGCAGGGTGGTGCTGGTTCACAGCCAGTTTGCCCCTTTGTGTTGATAAAGGAAAGGCGCCCCTCCCCTGAGGCTTGCACAGCTGCGTTTCAGCCCAAGGCCTTAGAGCCATGGTTCTCAAAGTGCGCTCTGCAGACCACTAGTGGCCTGCAAACATCTTGCGGGCAGCCTGTGGGCTCAGGGCTTGCCTACCCCGCCCCCCCCCTCCTGCCCGCACAGTGGGGTGCCTACACTAACACTCCAGCCCTGTATTTCCCCTCCCATGAAGTTGAAGCACCAACACTGGCTTCCCGCTGCAGGGGAGAGGCAGGCCATCCTGGCAGGCTTGCAGGGGAAGGAAGTGGCTCTGTGTGCTGCCACTGCTTCTCCCCCGGATGGGGGAATGGCAGCACAGAAAACGGCTTGCCTGGAGGTTTTCCCCACCCCGCTGCTCCCATTGGCTGGAATCATGGCCAATGAGAGCAGCAGGGTGGGGTGGGCTATGCTGAGGGTGGTGGGAGGCATGGAGCCAGATACATGCCCCCCATCCTTCTCATGTCCTGACCCCCCAACCCTCCCGGCATCTTCTCTCCCTCCCAGGTCATGCACATTGACCCCTCTCCTGTAGCTTCCCTCCTGCACCCTCTCTTCCTCCCAGCCAGACCATGCAGCCCCACCCCACCCTTTCATCATCATGGGTGGTTGGCTGGTGGTCTGTAGAAGAGTGTTCTTTGTGCGGGGTGGGCCACGGGCCAAAAAGTTTGAGAACCACTGCCTTAGAGAGTAGGAGGGGGTGCATAGCTGTGACATGGGATCGGGACCCAGGGCATCTGGATTCAAGCCAGTGACTGAGAGTTGAAGCCAGACAAATTGAGGCTGGAAAAGAGGCCTAGATTTTACATCTTGGCAGCAGGGCTGGCCTACAACATTTTAGCACCCAAGGCTTGGGCCAAAACTTGGAAAGGTCTCAGTTCTGCCTCCTTCCTGTTCTACTCCTCTCGCGGCACTGCATAGAGAATACATATGCACCAGCAGCAGACACAGTTTTCTACACTCTGGGTCCTTGTGGCAGCTCCCCCGCCTCCAGTCTGGCACCTGAGGTGGCCGCCTCACTTCGCCTCCTGGTAAGGCCAGTCTGCCTGGCAGTAATTAACCACTGGAACAATTTACCCAGGGCTGGGGTGGCTTCTCCGTCACCGGCCAGTTTTAAATCAAGATTTAACCCTGCATTTCCCCAGACCCTTTGTTTAAACTGAGCGCTTCAGGGCAGGGACTGTCTCTCTCTGTGTGTTTGTGCAGCGCCTGGCACAGCAGGGCCCTGAGCTCGGGGTCTGGGCACTTCTGTAATACTTGCCAACAATAATTCCAACTCCAGCAATGCGAAGCAGCCCTTACCCTTCCAATCATCACTCGAGCTGTCTTCTGGTATTAAAACCACACTTATTTTGGAAAGCCCAGCAGGTGCCAAGCAGCAGAAAAGCAACTGTACTGATGAATTATAGCTTTCTCCCTGTGTCTCCGCTCCCACCCCCTAGTTGGCACAGGCACCCCCAAGCTCAGCTGTGACTCTCCCCACTTTCTCCCAGCTGTCTGCTTCACAGCACAGCTGGTCAATTTGTTAGTGGGGGATGGAGGAGAAGGCGAGCGGAGCCCAGAAACTCCAGAGGAGCTCCCAAAGACTGAAACACGTCAGTCCTTCCAGGCTGAGTTTCCAAAGTGTGTGGGTATGGGGTGGGGGGAATCTGCTTCTGATCTTTTTTCCATGCTGAATTTAAATCCTTCCAACCAGGAAACACCACTTAGAAAGCAAAACTAGGGTGAGTCACTTTCCTCACCTCAAAATATTCACTCCCTGAGCCAAAAAACCTTGAATGTGTCAAACTTCAGCCTCTGAATTTTTTCCCCCGCAGCTCTAGGCTGCTGGGGGAGCGGCTGTGGCAAGGAGAAGGCGCCTTGGAGTCCGAGGCATCACAATACGCTCAGAGTGAGGGGGCAGCTGTAGGTGGTCAGAAAGGCCGCTCTGAGGCAAGGCACTGGATCTGAAGAGCCAGCCCCATTCGCCCCTAGAGAGGCACAAGTGGAGGGGTGTGAGCCATTGAGGCACATTGCCCGAGGCTCATAGGGGCAGCTTGGGGGCATGGCCAGAGCACACTGCCATGGCTGTCCACTGCCCCCTTGGGCCCATAGGGAATGCCTCAAAGCACACGCAGGGTCTGGCAAGAGAAACCGGGCTCAACCGGAGCAGTTGGTCTCTTCATCATGGCACAGCTGGCATTAGGCAGGCGTGTTTGGTTCTGGATTTTCAGCCGTAGCTCCGAAAATCCCAGCGGATCCGAGGCAAGCATGGCTTTGGGAAGTCACTTTGCTGGCTTGTTGCCTCAGTTTCCCCATTTGTACTTCAGCCATCAGCCCGAGATCAGTGTGGCAGAGGTGTCTAGCTGCTGGATCATGGCTGTGCTGCATGAGAGCTTGGGGCTGGCATGGTTGGGTTGGCTGGCCAGCACACTCCTGGCCCACGTGCCTCTTCCCTGCAGTATCAGTATGACCGGGGTGCGCTAGGAGCAGGGACATGAGGTATCCGCCATCCCACAGGTGATCTGGTGCCTGTGTGCCAGTTACAAAGCTGGTGGGAACCTCTGGCTGGGCCCCTTGGCAGGTCTGCCTTCAGTGCGTCTCTTCCCCCATATCAGTCCCTGTACCCAGAAACCACCCTGTTTGCTGAGCCATATGCCTCCACACAGTGGCCTCTTGCTTCTCCCGTGGGACTCAGATGTGATCCACCAGCAAACCCTGCACGTGCCCCCCACCAGCTCTTCAGGGCAGGGCCTGCTTGCCTTTATTTTGGTTGGTAAGTTTCTGCAGCCCTGGCTCTAAAGTCCCTTGCTGCCAGGGGTCTGCGTAAATGGGTCACAGGCAGCAGGTCCAAATGAGAACCAGGGCCCAGCTACTGGTGGTAAACAAACAGGAATCTGTCGTCCCCGATGCCTAATTAGCTCCTCGGCCTCATGCGCAAAGGCACAACGCGATCCAGCAGCCGGGCAAATTCCAGCTGGAAGTCAGGGGCACGTTTATAACAGGGAGAGGAGTTCCCTAGTGCACTCTGGGTGGGGATGCCAAAGTGGATCACGACCCCATTTTAATGGGGTCACCAAGGGCTGGCTTAGACAAGTTGGGGCCAGGAGCTCAAACTGAAGCCTGAGCCCCATCACATGGGACCGAAGCTGAAGGGTTTCAGCCCTGGGTGGTGGGGCTCAGCCTAGGGCAGCCTGTCGGCTTTGGCTGCTCTCCTACCTTCATGATCGTGGGCTTTGCCCCCTCCCTTCCCCCATGCAGAGTGGTAAGGCTTGCGCCTGCTCAGGTTTTACAGCTGAGACCCCTGACTGGCAGAACAGCTGCTGTAGCCCTCGCACAGGGCCTCTGTCTCTAAGACCCTCTCTGGCTCATGCAAGCGTTATGGGTTGGCTACCGGCAGCTGGTGGGTAATTTCTGGCTCGGATCATGCGGGAGCTCAGACTAGATCATGGTAGTCCCTTGACATCTGTGATCCAGCTCTGGGGCCTGTATTCTTCGGCCCGGGAGAGCACCCCTTCAGTGCACGTCACAGGGCCAGATGGGCTTAGCTGGCACCTGCCAATCCACCGCCACAGGTGGAGTTTCTAGAAGCTGGACTGAGATGGGATGACGGACGTCTGTGCCGGGGCTAATGAGCGTGGGGCGGGGGGGACTTAACATGCATGGAGAGGTGTGATCTGTTGGAGACCCAGTCCCTATTTGCTTTTGTCGTAGTGGCCTGGATCTTAGCCGGCTGCTGGGGGGCGTGACCCAGCCTGCCTGGCCCAGGTGTGCAGCCAGGCGTCTGGCTGGCTCGCCTCGTGCAGGACAAATGCCGGAGAAGGAGCCTTTTGTGCATCTAGAATGTTGCAATCCCTGTATCTCCCCCCTCTCCCTCGGCATCCTAGCGCTGGCACACACTGAGGCCAATTGTCCTGTGGAGGTGCCGGTGGCGGGTGTCAGGCGCGGCTGGAGGATGAGACAATAGACCCGGGTCTGTGTTGGGAAACAGACTTGCCTGTCACCCTGCGCACTGGGTGGGGACAAGCAGGGGTGGCAACGTTCAGGGATGGGAGCAAAGTTCTTCGGGTTGGGCCGCAGCTGCGGAGCTGGCAGGAGCTGAGTTGCGTTGCTCCCCAGCCTGTCAGATCAGGGAATCTGCCAGGGCTTCGCCTCTCTTCTGGCTAGCGAGTTGTTCTGTGCTGAGATGCTCTTCCTAAGGAGCTGCTAAGGAGCTGAGGCGGTAGCAGTGTGGGCTAGTGGCTGGAGTGCTGCATTGGGACATGGGGTCTGTTTCAGTCTCTGGCACTGGCCTTGGGCATGTCATTTTCCTGCTTGGTGCCTCAGTTTCTCCTCCTGTGGCCTGTGAGCTCTCCAGGGCAGGGACTGTCTCTTCCTGTGTGTCTGTGCAGCGCCTGGCATGTGTGAGCCGGCTCCTGATCTCTAGGCGCTGCCCTAATACCAGTGGGGCTCAGAACCCTGGCATGGCTCCCGCGTCTCAATGGTAACCAGCCCCAGCTCCCAGCCATGCCTGGGGGAGCAGCAAGTGAAAATGCCTCTCTCAGCAGCTGTCTGTTTGCTGAGGGGGGCGGGTGTTGGGTTGGAACCGCCCCAAGGCTGGAAATGGCCGCTGCTCCCTGCCTCCCCCTCAGCTCTGGCAGCCAGCTAATGCCCCTGTGATTCTCCTGGCGGCTGGCCAGGGAAGTGTTGGAGTCTCCTCCTCAGTACGAGGTGTTTGCCTGTGGCGCTGGCACACCAGCAGGGCAGGCGGTTCTGTCACGAGGCAGCAAGCAAATATGTAGCCAGTCGCTGTTCTGGCTTCTGGAAGCAAATTGACGACTCTGAGCTGGGCAAAGCCTCCCACCCCGCAGCTCCACCAAAGCCCTGTCAGTCCCGACTCATAGCCCCCCGCCCGCTCTCCTGGTGCTGGGCACCCCCACTGCCCCATCCACGGCTCTGCCAACGCCCCTCAATTCCAACCCACAGCCCCCCATCCCACCCCAGGGTTCCCCTTTCCCTCTGTTCCATCCCACAGCCCCCCACATCCCACCCCTGGGCTCTCCCATGCCTCCATTTCAACCCACAGCCCCCCCCATCCCACCCCAGGGTTCCCCTTTCCCTCTGTTCCATCCCACAGCCCCCCACATCCCACCCCGGGCTCTCCCACGCCTCCATTTCAACCCACAGCCCCCCCATCCCACTCCAGGGCTCCCCTTTCCCTCTGTTCCATCCCACAGCCCCCCACATCCCACCCCGGGCTCTCCCACGCCTCCATTTCAACCCACAGCCCCCCCATCCCACTCCAGGGCTCCCCTTTCCCTCTGTTCCATCCCACAGCCCCCCACATCCCACCCCGGGCTCTCCCACGCCTCCATTTCAACCCACAGCCCCCCCATCCCACTCCAGGGCTCCCCTTTCCCTCTGTTCCATCCCACAGCCCCCCACATCCCACCCCGGGCTCTCCCACGCCTCCATTTCAACCCACAGCCCCCCCATCCCACTCCAGGGCTCCCCTTTCCCTCTGTTCCATCCCACAGCCCCCCACATCCCACCCCGGGCTCCACCTCCCCCTTCCAGTACTCCAGCCCCAGGCTCACGCCTTCCCTGCCCCTCAGTTCTGGCCTGCCTCCCCCTCCCCTCTGCCCAGGGCAGATACTGCAGAATTGTGGGGCTTTGTGATGGAGACAAACATTCACCAGGAGTTAGTCTGAGATTCCCACGCTCCCACCGCCTGTGATCGAAGGCAGGGCCTGGGCCAGGGCTGATGGGGCCTCTCGCTGCCCACTGGGGCCCTTGTGCCTTGACCCAGTTCCCAACAGGAAGGGGTCAGGTCCCAGTGTCTGGAATCTTAGGTAGCACCATGGCCTGTGCACCCAGCAGCTGGGTGGGGACATAGGGCAGAGAGCTGGGCAAGGGAGAGGAGGGCTGCTGAGCATGTGCGGGGTCTGACCCAAAGCCTGGCTCCATGCCAGGCTCCGAACACCCTCGTCCCTCGTCACTAACCGCCCCCCCCCCCACCTCCATTTCTCTGCAGGCCTGTGTGGGGCACGGGAGGTGCACCTGCCCCCAGGACCCCTGTTCCGCGTGGAGGGCACGGCCATCTCCATCCCATGCAATGTCTCGGAGTACGAGGGCCCCACGCAGCAGCACTTCGAGTGGTTCCTGTACCGCCCGACAGCGCCCGAGATCTCCATTGGCATAGTCAGCACCAAGGACCCCGGCTTCCCTTACGCCGTCTTCAGCCCCCGTGTGCAGAGCGGGGAGGTCTCGGTGCAGCGCCTGCGTGGTGACGCCGTCGAGCTGCGCATCGCCCGGCTGCAGGCCGAGGACGCCGGCGTCTACGAGTGCTACACGCCTACCACCGACTCCAAATACCACGGCAACTACAGCAGCAAGGTGGTGCTAAAAGGTACCCGGGTACCGGCTACTCTCGGGGCTCCAGGGCTGGGGGATGCCCCATGAACACCGCCTGGCTCCCCGTTACCCCATTGCAGCACTGCGGACAGGACAGGGAGGATGGGTCTAAGACCCCTCCCTTCCACTCCTCCCCCACAATGTAGAATCACTAAAATAAAGATGCCACCCAGACCCTTGAGCGTCACTTGCACCAGTGACAAGGGCCAGCCTGCCGGTCGCACCAGTTTTGTATGGGTGCAAACGAGGCACGAGGATGTGGGTGGCAGTGGAGAATCAGGCCGTCCATTGGAGGGACTGACTCTGTACTTGTTCTCTGTCCCATGGGCGTGCCCAAGGGCCAGGCCTAGGTCAGAGCCCCAGAGTGCTAGGCGCTGCATGAATGCTCGGGGAGGATTCTGTTCTTAACAGGCCACTGATTACACAGCCCAGGGGGTTGGGGGCTGGCGTGGCGCTGAAGGGCAGCGAGCGCACTGAGTGTCTGGCTGCACCTAGAACCACAACGGGGGTTGCACAGCCCGTGGGAGCCAGCATGGGCCCTCGCTAGGCAGCACTGCAGCCCGGCTTGTGCCACTGGTCCTGTGAGAATGGGAAGCCTGAGACTCATAGATCCGTGGGGCTGGTTCTCAGCTGTGCGGAGGCTCCTCCGCGCTGCACTGGCAGGGTAATGGGAGTCTGAGGGTGGGTGGGAGCAACCCTCCTTAGGGACCCCCACACAGCAGCAGTCTCCCTGCCCAGCCTCTGAACCTGCCCCGTTACCAGCCTCAGAGGAGGGGGCTGGCCAGGGCGCACAGGAGGCCCTGTGGAGCAGAGTGTACATTAGAGCAACCTCAGGGCTGCACTAATGCACATTGTGGGCAGGACTTGGTCTGGTGCAGAATATGGGGAGTGCAAATGCAGCCCAGAATCTGACCCTCAGCCAGTCCCCCCAAGAGCTGTGCGGATGCCCCTCAGTCCTGACCCCCCAACCCCCTACTGTCCCAGGCCTGGGGCACCTGCTGGATTGAGTCTCCCATACGTACGTTCTGTAGGGAGCACAGAGAGGGCCCAGTGACAGGCGTGAGCTCCACCCTCCCGGAGCCGGCCCTTGTGGGAACCCACTTGTGGAGCTCCTGCTGCAGGAACCTGGCTGTGCTGGGGCCCTTCCCGGGGCCTGGCCTGGCTCTGAGGCGATGAGAGGCGACTGTGCACAGATGTGGAGTCACCCTCACGCACTCGACTCCCTGCCGCTCCAAGGGGACTCTCGCGGATTTCCCCTTTCCCGTACGGGACCCCTGCGCCCGCCGGCGCGGGAAGGAAGCACGGCTGGTTGGGGGAGATACTATCCCACTTCTGGTGCTTGTTCTTCAGAAAGGGGAAACAGGTCGGGGTGTGGGGAATCCCGCAGTTCCTCTTCCCCTGCCGCCTGGGCAGACTCCGTCTGGCTCTTGGCTTGTCTCCACTTAGAATCATAGAATAATAGGACTGGAAGGGACCTCGAGAGGTCATCGAGTCCAGCCCCCCGCCCTCAAGGCAGGACCAAGCTCCGTCTACACCATCCCTGACAGATGTCTATCTAACCTGTTCTTAAATATCTCCAGAGAGGGAGATTCTACCACCTCCCTTGGCAATTTATTCCAATATTTGACCACCCTGACAGTTAGGAACTTTTCCCTAATGTCCAATCTAAACCTCCCCTGCTGCACTTTAAGCCCATTACTCCTTGTCCTGTCCTCAGAAACCAAGAGGAACAAATTTTCGCCTTCCTCCTTGTGACACCCTTTTAGATATTTGAAAACCGCTATCATGTCCCCCCTTAATCTTCTTTTTTCCAAACTAAACAAGCCCAGTTCATGAAGCCTGGCTTCATAGGTCATGTTCTCTAAACCTTTAATCATTCTTGTCTGGGCCCTTTGGATTAGCCCCTTGGTGTTGTCCCAGGGCACCAGCGAGCTGCGGGGCCGAAGGGGAGGCGGCCTGCAAATCGCTGTGGCCTTCTCAGAGCACAACCAACCCCTGCGGGGGGATTGTTTTTGTGGGGCGAGAGGGGTGTTGGGTGGGACGTCTCTGGGGCACAGCGGAGGCACTGGAGATCCAGGCCCATCCAGCGGACCAGCCACCCTTCCTCCCCACCCACCTACACCCTGCCTGGCATGGGGGGAGAGGGGGGCACAATAAGGTTTTTCACCTCAGCGAGGCTCAGGGCTCTGGCTCTCCCTGCAGACCAGGGCAGGCAACAGGGACAGCCTCCCCCTGCCCCACCTGCCAGGGCATTAGCTCTGCCCTGGAGGGGGCCTGGTTGGGCAGGAGGCCAGCCAGCCTGAGCCCCAGGGCTGGGCAGGACAGCTGGGCTGGCAGAGGTCGTGTTCTGCCTTTGGGGCTCTGGAAAGGAGTTCCCGAGGGGAGGGGCAGCTGGACGTAGGGGCCCAATCCTGCCGGGCCCGTCAGCATCCACAGAGGCTGCTGGGCCAGAGAGCAGCTTGGAAAGCCCTCGCTCAGCAGCTGCCCTGGGGAGCTGAGTGCTCAGGGCCTGACAGGATCAGGCCCCTTGGGACCTCAGGACTGTGCAGA